ACACACACACACACACACACACCACACATATATATATATATATATATATATATATATATAATATATATATATAGACACACACACATACACACATTCATATGTGTGTATGCGCGTGTGCGCGCGCGCGCGTGTATGCGTTTATCTGTGTCGCAATGACAGAATCCAAACCTGAGTTACTGGCATTTCGAAGTCAAATTTCCTGCCTTGTGTCACGTCTGTTTTTTTTTTCCAATTACAAGCTTATGGAGGTCAAAGCAGAGCATTATGGGATTACTGACCGTGAAAACCAGTTGTTCAACATGAGGTCCTTGAGCTGTGTCACGGTCGGCTGAGTAAATTGATTTACAACAATTTTCGGTTTTTGTGTTGCCAACACATGAGTATCGGAACTGAGCTGCAGAAATAAGTCAGTTTGGGGGATTGTTTAAGTGGAGACATACCGTGGGAAAAATAACTTTGCAAGGACAAAATGACATACTTGTAAATTATTAGACCCGAGGTATAGATAAGAACGGTTTCCATGTTTGAGTTTGCTGTCGACAAGGAGGAAGTCAGGGCAGGTCAGGTCGTCTCATTATGCCTGAATAGCCGGCAATTACTTCCATGTGAATCTAACAATCAACTGAATGCTTTTGGTAATTATGAGAAGAAATGGCTACAATTTTTTTTCCTTTTAAAATGCTGTATTTTATTCCTTGTAAAATGTTATTAAGAGCTTGTAGTCGAGCCACATAACTGTTTTATCAATGCAATCACTTCTGCAATATTCATAATGATCTAATTCAAAATGCAGGTGTTGGTTGAGGAAGATTAGGCGGAGCAGACGTCAGGTCACTGGAGCACCTATCATGTGGTCATTAAGAGGCAGGTCAGGTCAATTCATTAACTAGGTAATTAGTGTGGAAGCCCTTTATTATACAAAAAATACGGCACATTATTTTGATAGGTTTTGAAGCCAAAACTATACAGTTTAGCTTGAAATATAATTTTCTATAATGCAATTTTGATATTTATAACAGTGATGATGAGAACACCAGAAAAAAAACAACAGTGACGATTTATTTCCAAAATTTAGCGATATTTCATACTATTTCGAAGCTGAGAGAGTGGATATGAAAAAAAATGTTGAATATAACACCCGTAAATAACAAAGGGGCTATGAAGAACCACCGTCACAATACGATCAAAAGTATTGGCAACAATGATATGCTCCTTTGTGTTTGGTTCTTGTTAACCCTTTAGATTATTTTGCATCAGTTTCTCCAAATATTTCAGCAACAGGATGCATTTCGTTCGATAATTAAGACAAAAAACAATCGTTGAGAAAGATAACGTTTAAAACACTTGAAAATCAACATTCATTGAAACGGAAGAGCAATGTGACACTTGTTTCCACTTACATTTTTGTCTTTGTGTCTTCGATAAACGTGATATTTTCTTTCAACCTGAAGCGAGAAATGACTGGCTTCGATAATAAACATGAACATTAAGTCATCCATGTTGCTGAAACGAAATAAGGTCTCATATATTCTGACGGATCTTTATTTTAGTCCCCAAGTGTGTTGTTTCACCCGTATTCTGGAGAAGGTAAATTAGAGAAAAACAGAAAATAGAGGATTAGATATTGGATATTGGACTCTTTATGATTTAGGTAGAATTCATGTTTTTTTAGATTATTTATAGAGACTTCCAAATGTTTTTTAAATATTCTTTCTGTCGAATGGGTAATCAGCATTCGCTAAATTATTAATTCTCCATTCCTGCTTTTATTTTCTGGCATTCGCTAAGGTAGGCCGGGATTAGCATGGCACTGATCTCTCCCTAATCATAAATAGAGCGGCGTTTAAAATTATTTTTAAGGGCGACTATGAATAAATTTTACCGTCTTTGAACAGTGAGCATCCACAACCAAACCAAAGTCTTACCATCATTCTAAGACAGGACTACAAAGACTCTACTGATTCCAGACTGACAGGTAAGCTTCAGACTAAGCCAAGTCGCATGTACAAGATGAAAAAGAGGACATTCCACATGGATGCCAAATCGACCAGAAAGGTTTGGAATGCACCTGGTTCGCTAAACATGGAATCGAGTGGAAAAGTCTATAAGTGGACATTGTCATTAAGTACTTGCACAGATAAGCTTTAAAGAGATATCCACTAATAGCTTGATTACATAGAACTGTATTTTGAGCCAATAACACCATACGAACAGGTATGCAGTACACGGTTACTACGAAAACTTGATCAAAATGTATATATTTTATACGTGAATTTTAACCTAAGGCCTAAACTGTATTAGGAATGAAAATGCCGAGGGGAGACTATGTCCTCATGAGGTCCTCTTTTCTACTAGTCTGTTTTTAATAAATTCCTATCAAAAACCAGCTCTAGACCTGACTAACGTGCCTTTTGGATTCCCATGGCTGGACATTCCCCTTGCACGAAGCACAATGCGGGCGAGACGCTTCAATTACCAGATTAACTTGGTCAGGCTTGAG